CAGGACTGGAAGGAAAAAGCTCATATAAATCATTTGAAATGGAAATGACATATCTGTAAAATTGTCCTCTCAAAATTAGCTTTCATGCACAATAAGGTACTTATTAAAGATCTACATGACAAGTGAATTTTCCTAGGAATAGAAAATAGCCAAGAGAGAGATAGAGACTGAAAGAAGATAGGACTTAGAGGTATAGCTTAAGCAGTAGAACACTGTGAGCAAGAAAGTTCCAGTACTGGCAATATATATAATTGTGTTAAACAGAACAAATTTATACTGCAAAATTATCATCTTGCTAGAGAATATCAGGTACAAGTCTTTGTGTTAACATCTTTAGAAATTGTGAAAATTGATTCAGATTAGTTTTTTAGGAATTGTTAAAAAATAGTTTATATATTTATTCATTCAATAAACACTGAGCACCTTACTGCAAGTAGCTGTGCTTGGTGCTAGAAATACTGTTTAAAAACAGATCTGCTGGGGCTGGGAAGGTGGCTCAGTGGTAGAGCGCTTGCCTTGCATGCTCGAGGCCCTGGGTTCGATTCCTCAGCACCACATAAGCAAAAAGAAAAAAGCCGGAAGTGGTGCTGTGGCTCATGTGGTAGAGCACTAGCCTTGAGCTGAAGAGCTGAGGGACAGTGCCCAGGCCCAGAGTTCAAGCCCCACAACCGGACCCCAAAAAAAAAACAAACAAAAAAAAAAACAGATCTGCTAAGATTGTTTCTGATTCTCCTACTTTGTTATCTTCTCTAGTAGAAAAAGATGCATATTCTGATTACTTTGTATATTCTGAAACTTTATGCTGACTTGGATACTGGACAATGAATACTTACTAATTTCTGCCCATGTGACATTGTGAAACCCATGAGAGAAGAAGCCACATAACTGAACATGATAGTTTGACACCCTAAAATAAAGGCCCTTGGTCTGAATAAGTGGTAGAGAACTTACCTAGCAAACATGAGACCTTCAATCTCTAGTACTGGAAATTTTTTTAAAAAATAGATAAAAATAAAAACAGGCCAGAATATAGCCAATTTATAGCTATTAAGATTAGTCCTAGGTGATGTTGTACTTCTGTAGTCTCAGTTACTCCGTAGGATGAGTGTAGCAGGAGGAGTTTGTGGACTAGGGGCAGTCTGGGCAAAACTGAGATTAAATGGGTTTTGAGTATAAAATAACTTTAAAAATTCAGTGATAAACCAGATACCAATAGATCATGCCTATAATCTTAGTTACTCAAAAGGCTGAGATCTAAGAATCTCAATTTTAACATAGCCCAGCAAGAAAGTCCATGAGGTTCTTGTCTCCAGTTAACCAACAAAAATCTGAAAGTAGAGCTGTTCCTTTAGTGGTAGAGCACTAGCTTGATCAGAAAAACTCAAGGACAGTGCCCAGACTCTGCATTCAAGCCCTAACACCAACACCCAACACCAAAACAAAGGGTCAATGATAAAATAGTTGGTCAGCCAGATTTGATGGTACCTGCATATTTTCCCAGTACACAGGAAGACTACAAGTTCCTGGGCAGCCTAGTCTACATAGACACTGACTAAAACAACAAAAGAAACAAACAACAATAAGTAATCAATTTATGTAGCTGTTCAGAAATATCAATGAAAAAAAAATCAATGAGCCAGGTGTGGTGGCACCTGAGGACAAACTGAGGCAGGAGAAATGCTTGGATCCTGCCAGACAAGACAGGTGAGAAGAAAAGAGATGAGGAGTAGGATGGAAGAGAAAGGAAGAGATTTTGATTTTTTTTTTTAAAAAGTTGAATTTTGTGTTTAAGTTTTTGTGTCTTATTGTATTGCTAGCAGCAGAATGTGAGACTTGTTCAGTAATGCGAAAAAGTAGAATATTAATAATCACAGAATGTTGAACTCATATTGGACCCCTATTTAGAGAATATTTTTGATAGTAAAGTTAGAAACAGTCAGAGGTGTAGTTTCCTGGTGTTAATTAAACCAATGAAAATCAGTGTGTTTCCACAGTAAAAGTTGTCCACTATCCTACTTTTTTTCTTTAAATAAAGATCTTCTCAGCAAGATTGTACTACCAGCTAGTGTCATCTCTGTTGTGATTTTTTTTTCTTTTTAGCAAGGTTTAGTGTTGGTGTTGGTGTATTACAGGGTTCTCCTTCAATAACTTGAACCCCTTGGATGTTTCTGCTTGTAAGGTTATTGTATTTCCAGGCAAATGTGTTGGTGATGGGAGCCATTTGAACTTTCTGAGACCCTTACTATTCTATCATGTACTCTTTAACAGTGTTTTCTTTTCCCCACTGCAAAACCAGGCTCGGCTTCCCTCGTGCTCATCTACCTATAGTGTATCTGAGGTATATTTTGCACGTATTTTCTTACATGGTCAACAACATGCTCGCACTCACCATTTTTATTTTATTTTATTTTTGCCTTAATTTATTTTGCCTTGCACTTTGCACTTGGCTGAAAGGGGAAAGTCACCTGTATATTTTTTTATAATGTATTGTTGTCTGGATAACTTTATTTTGGCAGTCACTATATTATAATAAAATGGCTAAAGGCCAAACAGCCAACTTCATTATTTCCACCAGCTTAATTCCATAAAGACCTTTGAACCAGGTAGTTTATTATTAAACTCATATTGGATAAAATAGATTCTATTTTGTGTACATATATATATATATATATATATATATATATATATATATATATATATACTTCTGATCCTTTCTCACTAGTTAAAGGCATTGGAAAGCATTCAGAATTTTTTATTAAATGAAAAATCTAATTTCTCACAAAGTGATTAGATTCTTAGATTTAATAACACTTTTATTTTCATAAGACTCTTGTAGTTCACAGGAGTTTATCAGCCATGAAAATCTATAATCCTAGCTACTCAGAAGGCTGAGATCTGAGGATTGACTGCAGTCAAAGCCAGCCTGTACACCAAAAGTCCCCATGAGACTCTTATCTCCAATTAACCACTCAAAAAACAGAAGAGGAGCTGTGTCTCAAAGTGGTAGAGCACCACCCTTAAGCAAAAGAGCTCAGAGACAGTGCCAAGGCCCTGAGTTCAAGCCCCACAATGGACATAGACACAATATGTATTTTTTCAACAAATAGATATATATATTCAAAATTGATCCATATTATTTGCCTTTTTAAAATTTTAATCTTATTCCTATTGTGTTAACCAATAGCATAAGTGGATTTTCTTGTTTTTACAAAGTACATTAAAACATTGTTAGTAGACTTTGAATAATTGGTTAAATGTACTTTCCAAAGCAGAAACTGTTAAGTGATAAGAAGAATATATAGCTCAAAATGTGGCAAATAAGCAAAAGAGCTTTAGTAAAATTTTATATCTCAGTTTTAGTCTTTATAATATAACATCCTTCTATTTATATTTTCTTATGTGACTAATACAGCTACTGTTTTTAGGCCAGTATTGTCAGCTAGTATTTTTTGATCATGTATGTATTATGTTAATAAGCAAGCTTGCCCTGATCCAAAACAACAGAAAGATGCTACTAGCTAAAATACCAGGTCATTTGTGCAGAACCACAGGTAGAGTATCATCTTTATACTTCAAATTAAAATGGAAAGTTTTAAAAAGTGATATGACTAAATCTAAAGACTTAGAAAGTTAAATTTAATGCATCAGTAGAATCAGACTCATCCACCATGCTCTCTAGCTCAAACCTATGATCTTAGCTAAAGAGGCAGAGATCACAAAAATTGCAGTTGAAGGTCATCTGGACAGAACAGTTAGTGAGAGTCCATCTCCATAAATAAGCCAGTCATGATGGTTTATATCTGTAGTCTCAACTATGTGGGAGACATAAAATATGAAGATCATGTTCTGAAGCCAGCCCCAGGCAAGAAAATGAGAGATCTTATCCAAACAATAACTAAAGCAGAGAAAGACTAGGGCTATTACTGGGGCCATGCCCCAAGTGGTAGATCACCACCTAACAACCAGAGGTCCTGAGTTCAAACACGAAAGAATTGTAAGCATCCTGTATAATTTTACTTTATAAATTAGAACTGTCACAGATTACTAAAACTGATTTATCAATTTTTGCTCTTTAAGACAAGGAGACATTTATTCTATATGCAAAACTGGTTATAGTAAAAGCATGCTTTTAAAATAAAATTAAGAAAGAAAAATAATTATAGCACACTTTTATGTTTATATGTAAGTATATCCCCAAAAAATACTGAAATTTCACAAAGAGCCCAGAAACCAAGTACCATAAAATAATGTAGAGCTTTAAAATTCCCTATTAAAGGAGAGATATGTAGACAACAGACTATATGGAACCACCTATAATTTTATTTTTTTCATTGTTATTTTGGTATTTTAAGTATTAAATACTGCTTGAAGCCAAGATCGGTAGTGCATAGTTATCTTCCCAACTTCATGGGATGCTGAGATTGAGAGAATTATGGTTATAGGCCAACCTGGCCAGAAAGTTTGAGAGACTTCATAACAATGGAAAGAAGCTTGGTGTACGTACATGTCATCCCATCTATAACAAGAAGCAAAATATGGGGACTGTGGTTCCAGGCACATGCCCACACACAAAGGAGTATCCTGTCTCAAAATAACTAGTGTAGAAAAGGGCTGGAGGTGAGGCATCCCTCAGTATAGAACACATGCCAAACAAGCTCAAGGCCCTGAGTTCAAACCCCGGTACTCAGACAATTCAATTAATTTGTACTTGAATTGTATAGATGATAGGTTCAGTATAAACATATTCCTAGTCATGTGTTTAATATAGTGCCACAGTCATCATCACAGTGAGATTTCACAAAAGGCTGAAGTTTTAAGATCTTTAAGCAATGTAAAATGCTTTCTACAAGTAAATAGCATGGAAAATCTGTATGGAAAATTTAGACCCAAAAAGTCCCTTCCCAAACGATGCATCATTAGACATGCTGGTTATTACCATAAAGATGAAGAGTTGGTTTCTTCTTGAAACACAGTGATAAGAAGTATTAACAGATTAATTAATCACTTCTCTGCCTTTTGACTAAGAGCAAGTGTAGTATCTGTTCAGTTTAATATCTGATATGTCCTCTATCCAAGGACAATATATTAAATGGATTTTTAACACTAGGAGATGAAATAGAAGCTTGCTCTGTCCACTCCATGCATCGACCTAGTTTTGCAGTACTTCCAGGAATGGTGCACTCCCCTTCCAGGGAAATTATTTTTTGATTAAAAATAAGAATACAGGCTGGGCGCTGGTGGCTTGTGCCTGTAATCCTAGCTACTCAGGAAGCTGGGATCTAAGGATCATCATTCAAAGCCAGCACTGGCAGGAAAAGCTGTGAGACTCTTATCTCCACTTAACCAGAAAACTGGAAGTGACGCTGTTGCTCAAGTGGTAGTGTGCTGACCAGGAGCTGAAGAGCTGAGGGACAGCACCCAGGCCCAGAGTCAAGCCCCATGACTGACAAAAAAAAGAAAAAGAAAAAAGATGAACTAACTACTTAGGACATTAACAGACTTTTGAAAGAGAGGTTTAATGTCATATCATCCTCACATTTTCCATAGATCTTTTCTCTATTTCTTCAGGATCATGACACAGTATAAAAATATGCATAACACTTTTTTTTCTGCCACTTGGGGCAAATCTTCATTTTCTATGAGACTGTAAGAACTCTATCATTGATACCATCTCCAATTACTACAACATCCATCAGAGTATTACTTTCTGTGATAATGTGTACAGAAAGGCTCTCTGGTTGTACTTGGACAGGATTTTGAGGAAATTATGTCTTCTGTGGCAGTCAGCTCTTAAATAAAAGCTGACTCATCTGAGTTTGTTTCTTTCATTGTAATATATTGTTTGTCATAAAGTGTGTTTCTTTTCTACATTTGTCATTTGTTGTAGGATTACTCTATTCCACTCAATGTCACACTTCAGTGGTCTCCATAAATTGTGTTTATGTTTACTTTATAAAGGCCAATACAATAATGAACTAATTGAGGAATGATAATGATCTGCATACAAATAACCTATACTTGTTTTCTGTTTAAACTAAAGTTGTAATATCTTCATTTCACAAAATTTTAGACTTCAGTTGTTGATAATTATTAATTTAAGGAATGCTTTCATTCTTCAATTTTTTACTTGGGAACTGTTTGGCAGGTCTAGTGTAGAGTGTATTTATTTTATAGCATTATTGTGAATAGCCAACCTTCTGCAGCTCAATATCTGCTTTACATTTACATCATCTTCACTTAACTGCACAAATAAGTAGTTTCCAACTCCTAATATAGCACATTGGCTTTTCTGGTTGCACATCACAATCTTCTGTGACATTCATAAGAGGAAAAACTATGTCCTGCTCAGAAGTGAATTTAGCCATGAGTTGTATAAAACAAGATAATTTGGCACTTCCCCTGGCTGCTTCTGCCGTAAAAATGTTAGTTCATATAATCCATGTCCCCTTTTTTTAAAAAAACATGCAATATAAATAAAAGGAAAATTCATTTTCTAGACTTCTAGCTGATCTTCAGCTTTTTCTAGCAGTGTGTATTTTTGTAATTCTATGAAAATATTGCTTTGGAATTTCCTTGATTTAAACAAAAACCAAAATAAATACTCCTTATAGAAATAGTGTTCAGTTAAATGCTGAGATATAAGTATAAATTTAATATTATGTATAACATAATATCTAAAAAATAAATATTAAAGTTGTAAAGCTTTTATAGTCCAAATTGAACTCTGTGGAGATAGGGATTTTTTTTTTTCATCCAAGGGCCATTTGGATAGTTATAACATTGTTCACAGGCAGATGGGTCTCAGGAAGCTGAGGGTAAGCATGCATAGCTGTCCCATCACTTCTCAGAGGATTTCAAAGGCTTATATGGCACTCAGGCCAAAGGATTCTTGACCCTGGTTGAAAACCTTTTCTATAATATCTGAGATTTCTCAGTGAAGTTGACTTAATTTAAAATTTTAAAGTTAAGTCATTTCTTTGATGCTGTAGACAGACTGACACTTAATTTTATTTTTATTTCATGCTCAAGAACTTTCAATAACCTAAAGGTAAAATAGTGTTTTGAAGTTGTAGTATGTAAAGCATAGTAAGCATGTTACCATTGTCCTTAGAATTCTAACAGATTTATTGAAACACCAGTTCTGAGCTCACCAAACCTTGACAGAACCACATTTTGAAACTTTTGCAAACAGAAGTTTCAATTGAATTTTGCAGTAAATTTTCAAGGAAAGAAAAGAGGAATGGAAGCAAACATCATCAGGACATTAAATGTAACATTTTTGTTTTTCAAAGGGGAAAAAATATTTTAAACATCACCAAACCACAAAGTATTTAAAGTGAAAGAAACTATATCCATAAAGATTATACAGTATGAAGCGAGGTGCTGGTGGCTCACACCTGTAATCCTAGCTCCTCAGGAGACTAAGATCTGAGGATCACCATTCAAAGCCAGCACTGGCAGGAAAAGCTGTGAGACTCATATCTCCAATTAGCCACCAGAAAACCAGAAGTGGTGCTGTGGCTCAAGTGGTAGAGTGCTAGCCTGTAGCTGAAGAACTGAGGGACAGTACCCAGACCCAGAGTCAAGCCCCATGACAGACAAAAAAAAAAAAAGCCTTTAATAATTATTATTTATCTATTTACACATACTTGTTTATGATCTACTCTTTCACTGGTATATTACATTAACACAAGTCTTAAGAAACGTAAGGAAACTATAGATAGTATTCAGTGGATCTGTTACAAATATTTTAGCTGGGAGCCAGTGGTTCATGCCTACAGTCCTAGCTACTCAGGAGACTGAGACCTAAGGATCATAGTTCAAAGCCAGCCTAGGCACTAACATCTGTGAAACTCTTATTGCTAATTAACCACAAATAGCCAGAAGTAGAGCTGTATTTTTAGAGGTGGAGTGCTAGCCTTGAGCACAAAAGCTTAGAGACAGCACCCAGGCCTAGAGTTCAATCCCTAGTACCAGCAAACAATTAATAAAAGTAGTAATAATAATAATAGTAACAATAATACCTTAAAACCAGACATAGTGGTTCAACTCTATAACTAGAGTTGCTTGATTGGCATAGATGAAGGGATAACAATTTGGATTTAGCTCAAGCATGAAAAGAAAAATCCATAAAGATAAGGAGAAAACATATACTTTCTCTAACAAATCTAATTAAAGCACTCTTGAAAAGAATTGAAAAACACTAGTTAGTGTTTAAATTTCTACAATAAAAATATTTTTGAAAAATATTTGAGTAATAGTGAGTGCTTGAACAAATAGGGTAAACTTTTCTAGAGTTTATTAGTTTCTTCATCTGAGTTTCAAGGAGAGTTCGTAATTTATATAAAGTATCATTCATTGACATAATAAACATGAGGAAACAAGTTTTTCTTTTCTTACACAGAAATTTGATTCCTAATCTCCTCAGACTTGGATTACTAGATTAGCTACATAATTGGTTTTCCTTGGCATTGTGCTTCTTTCCTCATATGCCAAAGCAATCTTGCAAAACCATATCTTTTGTTAACCTGAGTTCTTTAATCAAAAAAGCTCTTTAAAAAAAAAAAAAAAGCAAAGCTATAAACTTACTGTGTTTGGAATAAATGTACCTCCCTCTGTCTTTTATACTTTGAAAGTCTTTTTTTGAAGTAGTGTTTTTTCATGATTAATTCCTCTCAACTAGAGTAACATTTTCAATTTTAGCACTAGAAATCCCATTTCCTGAGACTGTCCAGTTTTAAAACTGGAAGTTCTATATCACAGGAACCCCCTAAGACCTGAGCACACCTGAACAGCTACTTACTCCCTGTCATGATTTCAATCAAGGGGAACCTTTTCGGAATTATGTTCATTCTTCTTAGCCATTATTTGTTTTGTTTAGTCTCACAGAAATTCCTTGTACAGCTTAGATACATCTTCCTTCAGAAAGTCTTTTTTAATTAAGTTTTTAATTGTGAAAATACTGTACAGAGGGGTTACAGTCACATGAGCAAGGTAATGAGTACATTTCTTATCAAGCATTGTTGCCTCCTCCTTTGTTTTTCCCCTACCATCCCTTCCCTCCCACCTCCTTAGCTACACTCCCACCCCTCCACCCCCTGCCTAAACTGTAAAGTTCATTTTTTGACATAGCGTCTTGTACATCTCATTGCTGCAATGGGTCAATCTGTATCCCTATTTAAACAATTTGTTTTTTCCCTTCCCCTCCCCAAATTATACCAACATCAAATACAGTGAAAACGGGTTATACTGTGGAGGAGGGACGTACAAAACAACAACAACAACAAAAATCACATGATACCTTATAAATACGTTAGAAACAATAGCAAGGAAGAAAAAACCACTTGTGTCTCTATCTTGGGGTTCATTTCACTTAACATCATCTTATCTGACCTTTTCTGCTTGTCCCAGACATATACTAGTTATTGCAAATGAAGGAAACCATGAGACCTATGTTTCTTTGGGCCTGGCTTAGAAATTTTCTTAATAGAGACTCAGAAAAACAACAAATAAAGAAAGGTTGGACAAATGGGATTGCATGAAGCTGCAGCACTTCTGCATGGCAAAGGACATAGCTAGCAGAAAGTCTTTTCTAACAACTTCTATTCACCCTCATGACTCTTTTTTTTTTTTTGAATATTTTTTTTAATTGTGAAAATACTGTACAGAGGGGGTTACAATTACCTGGGCAAGATAATGAGTACATTTCTTATCAAGCATTGTAGCCTCCTCCTTTGTTTCCCCTTCCCATCCTTTCCCATCCTCCCCCCACCCCCCCACCCAATCTTCCCTGGGCCCTCCACCACCACCAAAGTTATAAAGTTCGTTTTCGACATAACGACTTGTACATCTCATTGTTGCAATGGGTCCACCTGTATCCCTATTTAAATGATTTGTTTTTCCCCTTCCCCTCCACAAATTATACCAACATCAAATACAGTGAAAGCAAGGATTATACTGTGGGGGAGGGACATACAAAGCAACAAAGAATTTATCTTATAAATGTGTTAGAAACAATCGCCTGAAAGAAAAAAACATTTGAATACATATCTTAGGGTTCATTTCCCTAACATCACCTTATCTGACCTTTTCTGCTTGACTCAGACATATACTAGATATTGCAAATAAGGGAAACCATGGGACCTATGTTTCTTTGGGCCTGGCTTACTTCACTTAATATAATTTT